ACAAAGTTAAGTATTTCAGATTCACTTGAGGTAATCTCCATAGCATTATTATCCATATGAAAATAAGAATGGAGCGAAAACACAAGTTATTAATATGTCTCTATAAATATCACTACCATTTTGTTTGATCTCATTTGTCAATGTGTTTGTCGGCAGAAATGATTTGGACCCTTTATATTATATTATATTTGCATTAAAAAAGAAGTAGCCTTTGGAAGCATCTCTAGATGTAAAAACAAACTACCCTTTTAATAAAATGAAGCGGTTTAACATTATGAGAACAGTCTTGTTTCCCTTTAGTAGTATAAAGTGTCTCACAGCCAGACGCGGCCTGTAGCTGCGGCCGGTGTGGCAGCCAGTTGTATTCGCTTGCAATGCGAGTTAACGAACGAGCCGCCAACTACGGCGGATGACGGCCGCACGGATGTTAATTTGTATAGGCATATAGGTACGACAACGCACGGGTAATCGCCACCCGCCGTGGTTGGCGGCTCGTGCGTTTTTGCACTTACTGTAGTGCTATTATGTAAGACTAGCAAACCAGTGAACCAAATGTTCACCAAAACCTGATTTTAAAAAAAAATGTATTTAATTAATTGAGAACTTCGGAGATTTTATGTGGTTTCGTTTGAAATTCGAGATTTCTCGAAAACCGGAAGTGCTACGTTGCTCAAATCCGGTTTGTAGTCTTATCAGACTATTTACTTATAACTTAAATATTCTCTTTATCTATCTCTTACGGTTTGGCCGCTGAAACAGCACCACAGACAGACGGACGGACGGACTTGTCTAATAGATAAGAGATAAGAACAAATTCACTTTTTTTAATTGGAAGCCGCGGTGTGATTTATAATTAGAACACGAATTTCAAATAAATTTTCAAACCACACCGACGAATTCCGTGTTGAAAAGAGTCTGTTCTTACAGAATAGCACTGCTGTTCAAAAGATTCTTGCATTTTACTACCCGCTTCTGCCTTCATATTGAGCCAGCGCTCATTCTCTGGAAAACACGTCCTCGGCAGAAGTAATCAGCGTCTCCGTGCCACTCCATCGGGCCGCGAGACGTCACGCGCCGCGCGAAAATTAAAAAAAAAAGCGCCATTTACATAAACGACACTGGAATTAAAATTTGAGAGAACTATTGTCTGCGTTGAACAATGAATGATCTCCGGTGCCTGCCACCGCCACCGCGGCACTCTTCATTTCGCGCTTTGATAACTATTCAATTTTGATATTCGCGTTTTTCCAATTTTGAAAGCGGTTATATAAGTATTTGTACAGAATTTTAAGCCTTCAGTACTGGTTTATTTTTAACACATTTGTTAAAAAAATGCATTGAAGGAGGTTGTATCCATTGTTCGAAAGTTAAAATTACGGGCCATACAACGAAGCGTGCAATAAAACATTTTACCGCACGTTCCATACATGGCACCGTGCCGTATCCTTTAAGGTATTTTTTTTATAAATTTCGGTCGAACCTCTTATGTAATTTATTTGGCCGTTAACACGATAAATATGGATTTTCATACAACTTTTGCCGGCCGCTACTCGCGTGTATGAGGCCAGAACAGCAATTTCGATTTATCTTGACGAAGTTGTCAATATAATGCTGATAATTTTCAAGCATGTTTGACAAAAGGTATTTAAGTAGCTACAGCTACATGCCCCACATATAACCAACATGGAGGAAATAATCACTCACCTCCTTAAGAGATGGCGCTTCCTGCGCTGCGATCACAATAGTATGGAAACCTACATCGCGCAAGTGAAATTCGGAGGCTAATACTCGATATATACAATGCCCGACCAACATCAGACGGGCCTACCGCCCTATAAGTCTTTTCAAAATGCTGGGGAAACTTTACGAACGCGCCCTCGCTAGCCGCCTTAAAGACTTTCACTTCACGAATAATCTTATTATGAACGAACAGTTTGGTTTCCGTCCCAAACACCCGTGTGTGCTCCAGATGCACCGTCTAACGGAGCACACATCCTCCACTACCGCGATCTATTTCAAGCCTCCGCGATTCCCACAGATGTGCTTTTCTTCTACGTGGCGAAAGCATTTGATAAAGTCTGGCAGCATTCATTCGCGGCAGGTTATTTCCACCTCATAGGGAAGCGTAGTAAAATATCACTCAGGCATAACTTGACAGTTTACAAAACTTGCATCCACCCTATCATGACCTACGCGAGTGTTTGCTTCGCCCACGTACCTCCGTCGCGTCTTAAACCTATACAAACGCTGCAAAATCGTGTGTTGCGCGGTGCCACGGGTTGTCCGTGGTACGTGCACAATATCGATTTGCATCGCGATCTTAAATTAGACTCCATCGCAAAGTATTTGAAGGACGCCTCGAGACGTCACTTCGATAAAGCCGCGCATCATCCGAACACCTTAGTAGTCAAAGCCTCTAGCTATCACACGTCCGCCCTCACGTCCTCCAATCGTAGATCCCTCCGATTCCGTCGGCCTAGGCACTTCTTAACCCCGACGACGAAATCACCCGCGCCAGCGCACCTCCGACTCCTCCCACACAGGCCACAAACACCAACACTACACAGCTAGCATACTGGCACATTAGCTTAGCATTAGGCAGACACCGAAAGCCCGGTCAAAACGACACGCTGTACCAAGTACGGGTACCCCCACGACAACGGCTAACTAGAGCCGAGGTCCGAGACTCAAAGACATCCTCTAGTTGAGCCGACCCACCAAGGTTCGAGTTGTCTAAAGGCTCCAGACGGAGAGGAGACTTCCCCCGTTATGGAGATGCCATTCGCCTGGAATACCTCTAAAGGCACTCGCCAATTCTAGGCTTGAGGTCCCCTTAGGACCTCGCTGTCCCTAAACCCGGTGACGCTGTAAAGGTCATCTGCGACCAACAGCATAAACACTCAAAAAAAGAAAACAGACGGGCCGCGGTCACTAAGCTACCATCACCCAGCTCGGAGGAAGTTCTGCTCATTTGGCCTTCCTATAATAGCTATTAAATGATAAATCAATCGATGCAGTTAGTAATTCTTTTACTTTACTTTTTTTTAAGTTTTTATTTCCCGCCGAGACCTGGGCCGAGTGTATTTCTTTCTAGTGAATATTCTCTTTTAATACCTATATACTTATGAATATTATCATTTAACCTCTAGAACTGTAGAGGTTAAATTCTAAAAAATATGGTAGGTAACCTTAGTTTTTACTAATTCGTAAGTAATTTATCTCCGGGGATATTATTGTATGAAGAAAAAAATCACCAACTTCTTTATCTACTTCAATATAATTTTTTGTTAAAAGTGTGTCAGTAAAGTATTTTATTATTATTAGGAAAAAAACAACAATGTAGCCATCTATTAACATCTGCTTATGATTGGTCTCCCTGCGAAGGGGATGATTCTATAATCTATAATCATCTAGTAACAGATGCCTAACCTATTTGATGTACTAAAGACTAATTTTCTATCGTTGATTAGACATACATAAGTACAGACTTTTACGGAATTAATTAGACCGCACACACAAAGCAGGTACGAGAACATGTTAGTGATCTGATCACACATCAGGATGGGCGGCCAAAAATCTCGAGCTCCGTTCTTTGGGCGTTTGGTCTCAACTGCACCTCCAGTCGTTAGCATTCAACTCTAAACCACCTCGCGCACCTGACTGGTGTGACCACGGCAAATGGGCGCATCCACCAGATTAACTATAGTTGGCAAATGCGGCTAAGTGCACGACATTCGCATAGTTTCTATGGTCGGTGCGGCCACTGGGCGTGGCCGTCTAGTGCACGAGGTGCTTTACTTTAAGCCTGCACTAGGCACCCGTGGTGGGACATGGCCCATTCATCCTTAATAATGGCCTGTGCTTCGGCAGTGAGACATTATAGGCTGACGATGATGCTGATGACCCAGTTAATGAAATCTGATACTCCTATATTAATAATATAAGATTTTTGAGGCCTCAATTAATATTCCCATCACCTGTTAAAAAGGGAAGTCTCTTTCACCCTTCCGCATCTGTCGCTCGTATAAAGTTGTAACAGCGAAAACTTTTGAATTGAAGCTTCACTTTCAAACTCCACTCGGTTGGTTCTTGATTTCCGGTTTCTTGGAGATTTATTTCTCTTCTTTGTTTTTACACCGTAAAAGGCTCTCGCAGTGATTATAAAAAATCTCATAAAAATCTACGCTTTTAAGTATATTTAAATAATAAAGAAGTTTCACTTCAAAAATAATAACTCATGTTGGTATTGCGTTAACAGTTAATACTATGGCAAACTTAAAACTAAATATTGTAAAAAATTGAAAACTGTTAAAATAGGTCACACAGAAGTCAGTAACGAAAATAAAAAAATGGGCTGTATTTTGTGTGACCTCATTTGTCAGTATTTTTTTTTATAAAGGAACACATACTCTTAATTCGTGTTCCATTTTCAAAATGTAGAGACGCGTCGAAGTAATGAAACGTATATAGTCATTAGGTGGTTTAATTGCACCGCATTGTTCAGGTTGATATTTTTTTTAATAATAATAATAAATCGTTTATTTCTCATCACAAACATTTTGGCATCGATAACAATTTTTAAATAGTTGATTATATTAATATTTGCGTGAGACTGATGCCCGTGCTAGGTGGAATGCGATTCAACTAAGAATAGGACCGACTGGGCGCCATATTGTGACGATAAAGCTGTCAATTCAAACCAAACAGGTAGAGTAAGCAAAAAAAAGTTTGTATTTAATAAAACTTATTAACTAAGATTAAGTGAGAAAAAACATCAGATTTTTTAATAAAATTAATTTACTAAGATCGAGAAAACACACATCCGATTTTTTAAAATATTTCTTTAATAAGATTGTGTGAGAAAAAACATTAATCAGAATCTAGCTCTTCAATTCCGCTCATCTCTGCATTACCGCTGGAGTAGTTATGAATAATCATGCAGGTCATATACGAACATGCATCCTTTAATATATTAAAAACAATAATTTATTTGTCTACAGGCTACTTCGGAAAGTATTTGAACAAATATAACGGATCCTACATTCCACCTGGATGGCGCGAGTGGGGCGGTCTCATCATGAATTCGAAATACTACAACTACAGCATCAACATGAACGGCAAGAGGATTAAACACGGCGACAACTACCACCGGGTAAGTTTCGTATACACCCGGCAAATTTCTTGAGCATCGATCATAGACTAGGAAGCCTGCGCACTACCTAGCAATTTTACATACAAAAACGTCTACTGCGCAGGTTTATTCGTCCGTGGTTTTTTCTCAAGAAGTTTGCCGCTAAAGTTATTACATTCAAGACACGGCTGAAAGCCATAGAAGACAGGGCCGGTAAAACTAATCCAAGAAAATTGGCGTTATCTATAGTAGAATACAATTTATACTTTAATAACTTTCAAGTTTCCTCACCGTTCTTTCAGTACAAAGTCTTCCGTCGTAGATTTGCAAACCCATGGCATAGTTTTTCCTAAATCTAAAAGAGAAAACTTTATATGCAATTTAAAAAATACTATCCATCAACAAAAAGGAAATTATTAGCCTATTAATGTCCCCACTACTAGGGCAAAGGCCTTCCCTATGGATGGAATAGGAAGCTTGGGCCATGACCACCACGCGGGCCCAGTGCGAATTGGTGGGTGCTTACGACTGCAGATGCAGCCGGGACCAATGCCTTAACGTGCCTTCCGAAACACTGAGGACTTCGAGATAGTAAATTTTTGGTCACCCATCCAATGACCAACCACTGTGAAAGTTTCTCAACTTCAGCGATCGCAGCCGAACGCGTTAACCACTTGCGCCATCGAGCTCTTCCTTATAGGCAAGGCAGCTCGATAAAATATACTTCTGTTTAGTAATAGTCCCGTAAGTTTCAAATGGCAGTAAGTATCTAGGTATATTGTTTCATTTTAGTATGATATTACTTTGGTACATAAATAAGCTCCTTCGCTTTTATTGAACGCAGTCTAGTATTATACAGCTCTCATACTTGACATAGGATCGCGTTCCATTTCCTGACTGCGTTGGTATTTCACTACGAAAGCAAGAATTTCTTATATCTACGAAATATTTTTAGTGATGTAAGGACCTATAGAAATAAGAAGTAAAGATATTGTACCTCAAACAAGTAAGTATCATGTCAGTATTGAAAAGTTTTACCTGTACGAAAAAAAATATTAAGAGTTCACATGAGTTCATTATTATTAGTAGTAATATAGAGCTTTTCGAGCGCACTGTATTTAATTAATGACAGCGAAAATATCAATCTACGGTTTCATTTCGGGAACCGGCTTTCTGGTTTTTATGACTTTGCACTTTTCCATTGAATGGATGTAGGACTTCAATTAGTGAATTCGTCACCGTGTGGCTCAATAAAGTGAATAAGAGTAGGGCAATAAATTTCACATGAAACCCAACTACATTGTTAAATCGCTAGTCTATGGATTCCTTAGTAAGCGTTATTGCGATATTTCGTCATACTTTTCTATTGCTGTGTTATTATCGCAGCAGTGTAACTTCGTAGCCGTTCGCATTCATAATGCAGTGGCTAAAAATAGTTATTGCAATAACGCATCCGATTAATTGTTCAGCGTTTATTTTCAAATTATGGCCTGCGCAGACTGAATCGGGAAAAAAATGTTCGCTGAGGACTTGTCATGGACTCAACGCACACAATATGCGAACATAGTCTATAATGTTGAGAAAATTTGTTGCCCAATAATTTAGAGAAGCGCACGCTTTGGAAGTAAATATTCTTAAATAACGTTGTGTTGCAATGAATACGAAGTTAAAGATAAGACGTTTTAAAGTAGAATACTGCGTCCATCTCTTTATATCAGATCGAGCGCGCAACGCGGACTAAAATTTGCAGACAATAATACCTGCAAGTAAAAGTTTCAAGTTGTTCTATTTTTCTTTATTATTTGATTTGATAGGTCGCAGCACGTAACTCTAGCGCTGAACGAAACGTGGAGGGGATAGCTGCGCATGCTATTGTTCAAGTGTGCCAGAGTTCTGTAGTCAAATAAATATGGTATCAACAATAGGTAGGCTGGTATGTAATATAAAAACAAAACCCAAAATCAGACAGTAATTATCCTTGTAAGAGACTAGAGCACTTAAAAAACCTACGCACTACTACTGTGGACTACCTAAATCTGCTGCTTGATGGGCGTTTTTCGACTTGCTAGCAAGGCACCAGCGCTGGCAGGAAAGTTAAAAATATATTATGACGCGCCGTGCTGTTACCGTGACGGCTAATGGATAAACGACCAAATCATGTTACCCTACAATATCATCATCATCTCATCATCATAGGGATCATTTTTAACAAGTTTATGGGGAGTACAAAAATAAATACGTTATCGAAAATGTAAATTTTTATTTTAGATTCCAAGTCTAGTCTAGAATTACATATGAACCTACTGAAGTGTCCTCTCGGAATAGAGGAAACCTGCGAGTTTGGCAGAGTCTGAACATCAGACGCCGCATTCTCCTTTCCAGTAGGCCAGTAGGTGTCTGTCTTCTCAAAGCAGTATTTATTCTCGGCAATGTCACTTTTTAAAAACTGTTCAAACTTACTAAAACAGTAAATTAACTAAGAAACACAACAAACAAATCAAGAAAACAAACTTCATAAAAAAATACAACAACAAGAATTAACAATGACAACAAAACAATTATGAACGCGAAACTACACTGGAAGTGCGCGGGGCGTCGTATCTGTGCGGGGGACCGGACGGAGTACGACTGGAGAGTCAATCGGCGCAACGCACGCCCACCCTTCACGCCTGTATTCCCCCCAAGACATATTATTTTTTACTTCTGCTCAGTAAGGGTCAGCGCTAGAGTTTCATGCCGCGACTTGTACTGTAAGTTGAGCATTATAAATTATATTCCACAGGATTACTACCCGGATTTGATCGCGAACGACTCGATAGCCTTCTTGCGCGCCTCGAAGCGTCGCTTCACGAGGAAACCAGTTCTGTTGGTGATGTCCTTCCCAGCACCTCATGGCCCCGAAGATTCAGCCCCGCAATACTCACACCTGTTCTTCAACGTGACGACACACCAGTAAGTCTTTTTACTCCCACCGTTTTACTATGTCTATTCTTTACGATTTTTTTTATTGTTTTTGACGTAAGATTAACTTAAATAGTTGATTTTCCGCTCGAATTGAAACGCGCATCTGAGGAAGTAACCTCCACTTTACAGATTCACTTTTGGCGGCGTTGTTTTTCTGTATATGTGAGTAAGGCTCCAGGGTTTCACGGGGTAGAGGATTGGGTTAGGGCACGGTAATATTATCTATACAGTATTCTATCTTCATACAAACGGTCGGAAAGCGTGTCATACATACGCCACTCGAGTTCGCGCGGCACCCGGTGGGCATCCAGTCGCGAATGCGCCGCAGTGACGACCGAAAGGTGTGAATTGTTTTTTAAGTAGTTAGCCGTGCTTAAACTTTTGTATTGTGAATAATTGATTGAATTAAGTAGATACCTACATAATTTAATATGGCGAAGAGCAATAGTCGATATTGTGCTGTTTTTGGTTGCTTGAACTCTTCAATAATTAAACTTTTATACGAATGCATATTAATGATACTATTACTTTTTGATAATAAAGCTTTTCGTACGTCTCAGTCGAGGCGTAAATATTTTTCAGTCTTAAATCTATTTTTTTTTATTAAATATTACACTTAAAATAACATGTATTTTATGTAACACTTCCTAATTCATTCACAACATGTTTTTTACATATCAAAAAGAAAAATATTTACAATCACGAAACTAGAAAGAAACTCAATTATGTAGATGAAATTAAAATACTATAGGCGGGCAGCCCTACCGCTTGGATACGCCCCGCTCGGCCGTAGGCAGTTATTTCAAGGACAGGGCCGAGTCACAATACTGTATAGATAATATTACCGTGGTTCGGGTATGCAACGGTGCGAGTGATAGCTTTCGTATCGAAAGCGACTATATGCTATGGTGGTCGCTTACCATCAGGCGGGAAATATGCTTGTTTGCCACCATTTTAACATAAAAAGGTACTTGATATTGGCATCTCATATTAGTTTCTCCAATACTATAAATGGCATCCCATGTTCTGCGGCTTTAATGCGACAGTAGTTTGACATTACTCAATGATAATGGATTTTGGCGAATTGGCGGGGAGCTCGATGGCGCAGGTGGTAAGCGCGTTCGGCTGCGATCGTTGAAGTTAAGCAACTTTCGCAGTGGTCGTTCATTGGAGGTGTGACCAAAAATTTACTATCTGGAGCTCCTCCGTGCTTCGGAAGGCACGTTAAGCCATTGTTCCCGGCGGCATCTGCCAATCCGCACTGGGCCCGCGTGGTGGGTCATGGCTCAATCTCCCTATTCTATCCATAGGGAAGGCCTGTGCCCCAGCAGTGGGGATATTAATAAGCTGATGATGATGATGATGATGAATGGCTTTTATCTTTCCATTCCATTATTCGTATTATAAATGCCTATATTTCTCTAGGTAATATCCCAAAACAGATAGTAGGTGTTTTCTGTGGTAATATCAAGAATTTTGGGTATCTATTACTATAACAATTAAATAAATGACCGTATTATTAGTCGTTCTCTTAAAAGAAAACAAAAAGGCAAGATACGGTACGCTCCTACTAGCATCAAATAAAATATACTCCGGCTCAACTACATAAGCAACTCTCACGCAAGCACACTTCTGACATTTATAACGCAGCGCGAGCTAAACGGCGATTCCGCGTTGCTTGGCTTGGCGACTGCGTTTTCTTTTCTCTCTTTTCAAACGGCTGAGCATTATTGTTGTCCTTTTCTTGGTAACAAATGGCAAAAAAAGAAATAACATTCATGACAAACTATTTGTGTTCTTTATAAAAGCATAGAAGGCATTGTTTTATTTTTATAACACAGAATATACGCAATATTGCTATATTGAGTGCACATGCAGCGTGTTTGAATGTCCAATTGTGACTAAAGCGAATTGTGGTCATGCAACACAATTTAAGCGGATCACTTTTGAGCCGAGTGTGCCGTACGTATTATATCTTCCCATTTTGTTATAATCTAAGGTCATTCTAAAAAGAAAAATCATGTAGTAAGAAAACATGTTATAGTCGCGTCTCCGGTTGGATCGACAAGTAAAAAAAGCTGTAACGCGAGGCACCAATCTAAAGCTCTAGACATGTTCATGAAATATAAATCGCTCCGTACGAGTCGGGCTGGCAAAATTATTCAGGGCAGCGCACTTTAAGAGTGGGCACCTGAAAATTTCGGAGGGCACAAAAAATGCTGGAGCATAGTGCACAGATGACCGTATGCTTTATTCCTTACATGATTGATTACGTCTTTTATTTTCCACACAATATATTGCCTTCATGTGTGTGAAATATGAATGTACTTTAATTGTACTGTGCTGAAGTAAAAAATAAATTTGGTTTAAAATACTTATGTCGACCGACAACATTAACCTCATTATTAGAACTAAAGGTACATTTAACGAGCATGTACAGATAGTCATAGATCAGCTTATCCAAAACTGGCTATTTTCTTTATACGTCTTTGAGCTTTAAGGGGCCTAAAATAAGTTTCACAATCTATTAAGATTTTTTTTCAGTTTGTTGTAACTTGATGTGTGGCTGTCTGTACGTTACGTACGTACGTACCTACGTACGTAGGTTAAGTGAAACCGTAAATGGAGTGAACAAGTAAGTAAACTTTATTATTATTATTACCTATATATAAAAAAAACAATACTAATAAATACCTACTAATAAAAATGGATTTTATATTTCTTTAACTATTATTCATCATCGTCATCATCATCAACCCATGCTCGTCCACTGTTGGACATAGATCTCCCCCAATGCACGCCACTGCTCCCTATTTTCTGCCACTCTCATCTAGCCCTTTCCAGCCAGCCTACGAATGTCATCATCCCATCTTGTCTCAGGGCGTCCTACACTACGTTTACCGAGTTGTGGTCTCCACTCAAGCTATTATTGCTAAGCGTAATGAAAATAATAAGAATAGCTAATAAATATCGTGCAATATTGTAAAGGACATCGACGAATTCGGCCCTAGCATGCCCAAAAGAATGTCCTTCACTATTATTTTTCTATTATTTTTTTAACTTATTAGCAATTAATCATAGTAAACGGACAATCTGTTTAAAAAATAAAAGTTCTCTTACTAGATACTACAGTCTGTTCATCCAACTTGGCACTCCTTTTTATTGAAAATACAGCATTAAAAATCAACTGATAACTGGATTCAATAGGTTTCAGTCTATAATAACGATTTATTTTAATAGTTTATTTTCTTCGTTAATATTTTATTATTAAATGGGTGATTCTGTTAAAAAGTTGTGCCAAGATTGTTTACCTTAGTTATGCAATATAGGCGACCATAGGTATTTATCAACATAAAAATAGAACTAGGTACCTTAGTTAATAATACTTATTACTAGTATTTATATTATATTTATAAAAAGATTATTTCTGAAATTATCTAAAGATAGTTTATACTCCCATCCCATGTAATATCTGTTTATTTTTATGAAAATCGTAATGGTAACCAGGTACATACCTAATTACCGTTAGTAAAATATAGAAACAGGTAAATGGAAAGACTGAACATTTCATTTGAAAAGAAATCTATCATTACTTACTACAGGTAAAATCAATAAGAATATAAGCATTTATTATTTTTATTATAAATTGCATTTTATGTTCATTTAATGCATATTATTTAAGTGCTTACATAGAGGTAAACACTAAATCTATTCAGAATATATAAAGTGTACATCTTTTATGATTAAGTATAATAATTATAACCTCAAAATCTAATACATTCTGTAGTAGGCCACGGTTCCTCAAGTTGTCCGTATCTCAACAAATGCTTATTTAGAGTTTATGAATGATTCCGAACACAACTAGCATTTTCTCATTGCTGGGCGTTCTAGGGCATTCAATATATGGGGAACGAGCAATGTCCTTTATCTAATTCTGGTGGGTCGGAAAAGTTATAAGATAAGGTGGGTGGACCATGGAAGGCTGTGGTCCTCTGAAGGCCAACTTTCATAAAATCATAGTTATTGTCATCTGACGATAAATTCCTCCCACTCACACAAAGCTCCATCACACTCATAAGTACAAACACGGCGGCGAGTCGTTCGCGTCGCTATTTTGTAATTGCGGTCCCTCGCTTTGTAGACTTCAGTCGTCGATGGTAAAATTGTAATTCACGCGCTCAACTAAAGGTAAATTTGTTAAGTTTATAATCTATTATTGCCTTATTTTTTACGGTAAATTGTCATATAAGGATTTGTTATGGTACTAAAGAAAATAATAATAATGTTTCTTCGATTTCACTTAAAGCATCGGTAGTGTCCAATGAAAGTGTCCAACTCTGTGTAACTGGTCTTCGTTACGTCAATTGGATAAAAAGCTTTAGATAAAAATAACTACAAAGCTAGAATTTTATTATTATCTTTTTATATCTTCATCTTTTATTTTTTTATAAAATTTCCTTTAAACAAATCCAGAGAATATTATTACATTTTCTAACAACATTAGGGGTTTTTTACAAAGAACGTATCCTCCGCCATTTCATGGAACCTACTATCAAAAAGTTTATTTTAAATCTGATTAGTAGGGTCAAAATACTTCTTTTTGTTCGGTACACAATATTTTTAAATATTTATTTTCTTTACTGATTAATGTTTTATCAATAGTCGGTCCTCTCGTGGGTGCCAAGCTCGTTCCGCGTAGCGCTTTTTCTTGATATTCTTTGCTCATTAAATCCGGTTTTATTACTTACTTTGTGCGTGAGGAGTTGGTAAGTAACGAAGTTCCCATTTTGACTTACTAATTAACTTAGCGCCACTTGATTCAGCGTTTGCAATTTGTTTCTTGACTACTGAATTATATAAAAAGTTAATTATATTCCTGATACGATAAGAATGATGGTTCGATAAGAAAAAATCTTTTTGTGTTGAATAGTGTATTTATCGAGGAAGGTTGTAGCCCATTTAAAAAAGGATACAACTAATAGGAGAGG